AGCCCTATTGCTAATTAAAGCAAAAATATTACATCTACATTTATTCATTTAGCAGATGGCTTTAATCCAAAGCAACTTACAAATGAGGAATACAAGAAGTGATTTATCATAAGGTATGCTAGCAATACAAAGTTTTAAACATTGTCCAAAATAGAACAAGTTAGAAAAAGGAGGGATATAATTACAGTAAAAGCACAGAAAAAGACGTTTTTTTTAATGAAGTCAGCAGGATTTAGCCTAGTGCTCACAGTAGGGTTGTGCCAATAGACAATAGTATTGTGTATCGGCGATAGTCAGAGATATCGCCTGTGGCTGATGCCTTTGACAATAGCAAGATGATTATTATTATTAATATTAGGCTAATACTAAATAATATTAGGTCTTATTTGTTCCATTATATTTATTTTTTCTGCGTTTTTACACTGTTGCGCTTTGTAACCAATCACACACAATTATGTTGAGCTTATGAATGCAATAGCCAATCAGAGGCATTCAGATGAGTCATCGCTGAAACAGTTTTTGAGTTTTGTTGTTCAGTTGTTCGATGACTGAATTCAGCTCTCTCGCGAATTCTCACATCATAAACAACAAAGGCTGAACTCACAGGCTGACGATAGGACGATATGAAAATTGAGCATATTGCCCAACACTAGCTCACGGAAGTTTAAAAATCTAATTCTAATCTAAAGTTTGTATTAACAAAAAGTTGAAATAAAATAAAACAAATATTACATACAATAATTAGACATGTTGCCTTGGCAAGTAAGATAAATAAAGTAAGTTTAAGCTAAGTTTAAATACTACTGCTAAATTACTAAACCTAAAACTTAAACATTAATTTAATAAAAAAAACATGACAAAAGCACAAAATAAATACAAATAAAATAAAAATATACAAATAAAACCTAATTCTAAATATTAAAATAGTATATAAAGTAGGGCTGCCCCCTAATAGTCGACTAATCGTTAGTCGACCAGAAGAGGATTGGTCGACCAAAATTTTATTAGTCGCAGAAAAAAAAAAATCCCCAGGCGAAGTCACAGTCCGTGAAGGACAGATCGTTAACGGTTAGTCTATGGTAATACAGTACATCGGGCAGGACATCCAAACGTTAGCCTATCATTCATTGACCTCAAATATGGCTTATCATCTGAAATATGTAAGTATTAGCAACTGTACATGGTCGCTCAAATCTAATGTTATCCTAGAGAAATGTTTGTGTGGAGAGTGGAAGCTGAACAGTAGCTCACTGCAGCCAGATGGAGGCGCTGGTGCGCTCACTTGCTCTTAAAATACTCTGTCATTTTTGGTCATAAGATAAGAGTAATACATCTTTCAAATCTGTGAAGACTCTACGTTTATTTGTGTGCACTCACAATACCGTGCTTTTGTAAAATAATGAAAACAAACACGATGCACTTTCTGCCGTCTCGGTCTCTGTGAACTTGAGCACGAAACTCTGTGTATATCTTTGCCTTACAGAAATTAAAAATGTATAGAGTGAAATGTCTACTTTCAAATGAACCAATTCAAATGGAAAACAAATTCTCAGATTATGTAATCCGTATGAAACATGCATACAGGCGCATCACTACTGCGGAGTCAGTGTCGCTGACTTCATCTCTTAAAACCGAAAACAAAGAAAGCTCTAGTTTATCAAATTATTAAAATGTTAATGCAGTCTCCTTACTGTTTTTCCCTGACATTCATAATCATTACTTCTGCTGGTGCACTGTGGCAAGTTTTATGCGTGTGCTTGAGCGCTTATTAAGCTATGTAGGCAATTAAAGGCTCATTATAATGATTTAAATGGTTTATTAATAAATGTACGATTAGTAGACTAATGCTTCAAATGAACGACTACTAGTCGACCAGAAAAATCCTTAGTCAAGGGCAGCCCTAATATAAAGAATACTAAATAATAATTATTCATACTATGTAAGAAAAACATTAGATTTTTACAAAGACAACATGTTTCCAAAATTAAGATACATAAATTACAAATACAGGTGCATCTCAAAAAATTAGAATATCATGAAAAATGTAGTCTTCTTTTTTTTTTTTTTTACTCATTTCAAAAAGTGAAACTTTCATATATTCTAGATTCATTACATGTAAAGTAAAACATTTCAAAAATGTTTTAGTTTTAATTTTGATTAGAGCTTACAGCTCATGAAAGTCAAAAATCCAGTATCTGAAAATATTAGAATATTTACATTTGAGTTTCATTAAATGACCATCCCTACAGTATAAATTCTGGGTATCTCTTGTTCTTTGAAACCACAGTAATGGGGAAGACTGCTGACTTGGCAATGGTCCAGAAGACAATCATTGACACCCTCCACAAAGAGGGTAGGTCACAGAAGGTCATTACTGAAAGGAGTTGCTGTTCACAGAGTGCTGTATCAAAGCATATTAAATGCAAAGTTGACTGGAAGGAAGAAATTGGGTAGGAAAAGGTGCACAAGAAACAGGGATGACTGCAAGCTTGAGAATACTGTCAAGCAAAGTCGATTCAAACACTTGGGAGAGCTTCACAAGGAGTGGACTGAAGCTGGAGTCAGTGCATCAAGAGTCACCACGCTCAGACGTCTTCAGGAAAAGGGCTACCAAGCCACTTCTGAAACAGAAACAACGTCAGAAGCATCTTACCTGGGCTAAGGAGTAAAAGAACTGGACTGTTGCTCAGTGGTCCAGAGTCCTCTTTTCAGATAAAAGTAAATTTTGCATTTCATTTGGAAATCAAGGTCTGGAGGAAGACTGGAGAGGCACAGAATCCAAGCTGCTTGAAGTCCAGTGTGAAGTTTCTAATGTCAGTGATGATTTGGGGTGCCGTGACGTCTGCTGGTGTTGGTCCATTGTGTTTTATCAAGTCCAAAGTCAATGCAGAGCCACAAGGCTGATCGCTTCCATACCACGCCTCACTGATGCTGGAGTTTGTGCTAAAGGAGCCCCGACCAAGTATTGAGTGCATAAATGAACATACTTTAAAGAACTTGAGCTTTTCTGTTTTGCAAACTCTTTTTTTTTTTGATTGATCTTACAGGGTATATACAGGAATCATGGAGTTTAATTTAATACCTTTTTAGACCTTTTTTAAGACTCTTTCCATACATTTTAAGACCTCGTCGCCACTCCAAGTTTTAACCGGTTACATCGGCGACACTTTAACTTACATTTAATTGCAAAACTCATTGAGGAGGGAAAATAAAGCTCTCCGAGCTAAAGGGGCACTAAGTTCACACAGTATATTCAAAAGATGTATTTGTCACATAAACAATTTTCAAGTTCAACACTTTTTGTTCCATTCAGTTGTGGATGCTGCTGATGCCAGCAGCCAGTAAAAAAAAAACAGCCCAAATTACCATGTCCCAAATATAAAAATGTCATTTCCATCCCTAAATACAAATTTTACAGTCACTGTTATGGACATTTATCATAAACACAGCTCAAATGCTTCCTACTAGTGTGGCCCAAAACATTCAACAGTTTTATTACAGGTAGAATGCTAAATGTTTCAGTACAAGCATTTCAACCAATTATGCAATATTTCAAACCTTTAACCCACTGGGGAAAATCAACCCATGGCAACAGTTTAAAAGCAGCCCAAAGAAAAAAACAACGACAACCCTGCATCCAACACGAGCTGCAGAAGTCAGATTTTACTAATCATGGGTCAAAAGTAAGGAGAGATAACTGACAAGATGTTGGAGGATTTGCTCCTCAACAGATCCTGAGCTCATTGAAAAATATCTTATATAGTAAGATGTGCTACCTTTACACAGTGCGCGATCGCGAAATCGAAAGTGAAAGTGAACTGCGACAGCGAGCGCTCATTCAAAAGGAATTTAAATACCCCACATATCGATAGCGGCGCCCTGATGCGCTAAAATTATATAGAATATTAGAATGTTTGCGGGAGCGGATGGGAGCATGCGGTAATTGTCAGAAATTCAGCGAGAGCGGGATCAACAAGCCTCGCGCTATCACGCAGCGGAAAAGTCAGTCAGTGAGCGCCGTAACAGATGACGTCAAATCTTGCGGGATTCCATAAATAAGCTACACAGAACCCCATTATTCGGACAAATATACATAATGAAAAGATGATGCAAATAGCCTTTATACGTGATAAAGGCCTACGTGGCCTAATGGTTAGCGAGTCGGACTCGTAACCCAAAGGTTGCGGGTTCGAGTCTCGTACCGGCAGGGGTTGTAGGTGGGGGGAGTGAATGTACAGCGCTCTCTCCCACCTTCAATACCACGACTGAGGTGCCCTTGAGCAAGGCACCGAACCCCCAACTGCTCCCCGGGCGCCACAGCAAAAAAATGGCTGCCCACTGCTCCGGGTGTGTGTTCACTGCTGTGTGTGTGTGTTCACTGCTGTGTGTGTGCACTATGGATGGGTTAAATACAGAGCACTAATTCCAAGTATGGGTCACCATACTTGGCCACATGTCACGTCACGTCACTTTAAAATTTAATACCTTGGAAAATGGCATTTAAGACTTTTTAATACTTTTTAAGGGCCTTGATTTCCTCTAAATTGATTTATCAACTTTGAATACTTTTTAAGACCCCTCGAACACCCTGGCTTAGGAAACATTCTAATATTTTGAGATACTGGATTTTTGACTTTCATGAGCTCTAATCATCAAAATTAAAACAAAAAAACTTTGAAATGTTTTAATTCACATGTAATGATGAATCTAGAATATATGAAAGTTTCACTTTTTGAAATAAGTTACAAAAAAATTAACGTTTTTTTAGAGATGCACCTTTTAGTTACTATACATCATTATATAATTATATTATAAATACTTTATATAATGATCATAAATAATTTATAACATCTTTGTGCCAAAGACAAAGAAAGTTAATTAATAATTAAAATATTATCAGGAGGACATTTATTTTGTATTAAATTTGCAGTATCTTTTATAACTCACAATTAGAATAATATAAGCTGTATAAACGTTTATATAATGCTTGAATGTTCATATTAATCACTCACCTCTCTGTCAGGCTTCTTGTTCAGCTGATCTGTAATAGAGACAGTCAGTTAGAACGGCAGAACAGTAACAGTGATTTGTCTCTCATGATAAGAAAGCAGCGTTCTCACCCACGCCACCCTCCTGCTGGAAGTCTTTAAGAGACACAGTCACTCGTTTGTCCTTCCCCTGCTGATTCTTCTTCCTGTCCTTCTTTCCTCCTGCTTTAGCTTTTGGTGACGCCGTCTCTGTTCTTTCAGCATCCTTGAGAGATTATAACATTACACATTAAAGAGCATGTACTGCCTAGTTGACAAAGATACGGAAAAAAAAAAAACACGAAAATGCAAAGCAAGCACTGAAAATAGTTTATATATTAGTTACACAATCAACTGCAATCATTATATTACATTATATTACACAAGTATTACATACAGACCTCTTGACTGCTAACATCTCACTGTAACCACAAGAGGGAGTGGTTACATTTGTCCCTACATTTTAAAGAGCTAGAAATGAACCTCCACAAGTATGAACATGAGGCACATTGATGCTTTGACAGTGTGGAGATATGAACAGCAGGCAGAAGCTCACTTAAAGCAAATGAATTTATAATTTAAATTTCATTCTGTTCCTCAAACTATTGTATGGCCTTAAGAAGAATTTTACTTAACTTACAGTAATTTAAGCAATGTATTAATGTGTAATGTATTATAACGCACATAATTTTATCATGTCCACCCCCACTCACTTTCATTGTATGCAGCTGCATTTCTGAGTTACTACTACCCAGTTCATTTAAACTATGCTATGTACACTACCATTCAAAAGTCTGAGGTCAGTGAGATTTGTATTTTAAAAGATGTCTTTTATGCTCCTAAAGGTTGCACTAATAAATACAAACATACACAATTGATTGTATATGAACATTGATTGTGTAATTGAATTTATTTATATATATATATATATAGGGGTGCGCCGATCCGATATTCAGGATCAGTATCGCTCCGATACTGGCATTTTCTGCTGGATCGGGGTATCGGTCAGACGAGACAGATCCAAATCCGATATAGTGCGTATACTATTCTGTGTTATTGTTAAGCCCCACGAAAGGCACAAAAACATTATAAAGCACCATAAAGTTTCCGTGCACTATATTTCAAGTGTTCTGAGACCGTTCCATAGTTTAATGTGAGGTACGAATATTTAAGTTGTTAAATTCAAGTTCTCTTAAACCCTTCTCTCCGCTGCGGCTGTCAGTTATCCTCCATTCAGTTACGACAGTCAAGACGACGAAACTCTCTCCAGGATGATACAATGTTCCTTTTATTATACTTGATCTGTAGATAAACATCAGCGGTTTTGCATAAAAGGACTTTATCTTGCTGGAGTTTATAGCTAATTCTAAATAAAGTTACTTTCTACCGGGTGTCTGTTAGAGGTTCACTACACTGGAGTACAGAGCACTATGAATTGTTCTTCACGCACACAGTAACTGAAATTTAAAACTGCTAAAAGAAAAGGCTCAAGAAACTAATCACACAGATATAATACACTACGCATCAGTATCTCTTCCCTTTGTGCTTTGAACTTTTCTATGCGGAGCGCTGCGCGCTGTGACTCCGTGTTGCTTCAAGTGCATCATTCTGCACACGGGATGCGCATAAGCGCTTCGTGCCGCTCTGTATTGGAGCCTTTCATGTTATAAAACTTTTGCGCAATGAAAGATTGTTAATATCCTTTCTTGTTCTGTCTTATCTATCATATGTTGCTGCTTCATTACTGTGCTATAAATGTAAAAGAAATGTGTTTAATTTATTGCATATATTTATATATAATTATATTTACTTGTTTTTCATGAATGTATATTACAATACAAAGAGCAATGTGTAACATTTTACCAGATTACACCTATTTACTTTTAGTTTTCCCCCACTAAATGTTTTTTCTCTAAATGTTTAGATTTTATCAAATTATTGTGAACTCAAAATCATTTTTGTAGAGTAACTTTTACAGCTGAATTATCCACTAACCTAGTTATTAATAGTATTTTTCTCATAGATTATGATTATATATTTTTTAATTTGTTATTTTTCTTTATAATGAAGTTGTCTATATTTAGTAGATTGTGTGTAATACACAAAAGAGTGATGATCAGGTCAACTCACACTGAGGTATAGAAATAAAAAAATACAAAACTGAGCTGGTATCGAATTGGTATTGGTATTGTCCGATACTCAGAACTTTTGGTATCGGATCAGTTCTGAAAAAATGGAATCGTGCCACCCCTAGTATATATATATATATATATATTTTAAAATGCATTTTATTCCTGTGATGCAAACCTGAATTTTCTTTGTCCCCAGTAACACGTGATCCTTCAGAAATCATTCTAATATGCTGATTTGCTGCTCAAGTAACATTTTCTTCTTATCATCACAGTTGTGCTGCTTAATATTTTTGTGGATACCCGGATACTTTTTTCTTCAGGATTCTTAGATTAATAGAAAGTAAATAAATAAATAAGAAAACATTTCTTTAAAATAATAATGTTCATAATGTTACAAAAAAAATGTCACTTTTGTTAAATGTTATGTGTCCTGTGGAATAAAAATATTACCAAAACAAAAAAACTTTGTTGGGAATTTTCCATGCTACATGTATAGTTTTCTACCATTTTCAACTTCCAAATAGCCATTTAAGTCATTTTTTCAAAGTTTATTCAAACAATAAACCTTTCATCAACAGGTTTACATATACACACTCCACTAACATGCTTAATTTTAGGAAGACCTGCATAGCCCCATGTATAATCATGTGGTAGACGGTAAACAAATCATTATATCAGGAAAATTAGGAAATCATTTCAGAATGAGGTAGCGAAGCTCTTAATAGCAACCTGTGTGTGTGCAGCATAAAGAAAGCAAATATACTAGACATTTGTGACGCACTTCATGTTATTTCTATATCTCTTCAACTAGTTTCACATTAGTTTTTTCATTCTATCTATATTACATATTAATTTATACTTATTACTTTATTTTAAATTGTGTTCTGTTAGAGTTTAATCTATACTGTGTTCTGTATGATTATCACAGTTTAGAGAGAAGGAGTTGGTCTCCACTTCAAGCTCAAAGGATACTGTTGTGAAGCAGTAGTTTTGCACTGCCTTTCCTAGTTATAATAACACTTGGTGAATTACGATGATATTCAATTATACCATTACTTTGTTTCTTGCTCTTCCCCTGCCTGCCTCTTCCTCAGAGTTACATGACAAGGTACTGAGTCTGACTGCTTTGAATATCACATCAAAGTCATTTTTGTCATTTTATCTATTAATGTGTTAAAAAAAATACATGAATGCAAATCATACATAATTGAATACACCTCTTCCATGATTTAATTTTCTACTGAATTGTATATTACGTTTTTAGACTTTTGGGTGGAGATTAAATCATGAAAGTCAGAAATGTAATTGTAATATAACTGTATTGATATATTGTATGATATGAAAAATATAAAAAAACAAAAAAAACATTAAATAAATTTTTGAAAACTTCCTTAAAAACCTTCCTTTTGAAAACTTTACTTAAATAGTTTGGTAATATATTTTATCTTGTATTGCTTTCTTTAATCTTAGGGGAAAAAATGACATATATATATATAAATATATATATATGCAGGACACTATAGTTCATTTATGTAAGTGGTAGGGATGTAACGATTCACTCAACTCACGATTTGATTCGATTCACGATTTTGATTTCACGATTCGATTCGATTCACGTTTTTTTTTTTTTACAAAATGAGATTTAAGACAAATTATAAATTAAATGTGTCCTTTTATTATTGCGTAGACAAAATACTGTACGTTTCTTTGTGAAATTGAAATATAACACTATAATAATATACTAATATAGCACTTGGGAAACGATGGATGGTTTTCAAGCGAAAGTCAAGTAAAAGACCGCTTCTTAAACCAGAGAAGGTGAACATGCTGGCATTCTTGTGGGGGGGGAACATGGAAGCACTGTCACCGTTAGTTTTACTTTTCTTTTTGTTTTCATTTTTGAAAAACTTATCTTTGCTGTTTACCTTGGAAGCTCTCTTTTATTAATTTTTTTATTTGATTCCTCAGTGTTTGCTAAACGTTCTGTAATTTATTAGTCGGTATATAATACAGCATGTGGTGTGTGCCATGCCTCATCTTATTCGTTTTTGTTAATAAATGTTTTGTAAGCTATAGTTTGTCATTGTATATTACTGATTTATTGTTGTAGTGCTTTTTTATTAGGAATAACAATGAATCCATCTTTTGTTTTAGTCTTAAAAAATGAAAGGTGTGTAGATGTATGTAAGCAAAACAGTGACAAGATCGCGAATTCGAAAGTGAAAATATCCGAAGCCCGCGGCTTAACACAGCAAAAGAGAAACTCCCGTTCACAAAATTCAAATCACAAATAATACTACTGATGATAAAGAACGGGTTGAATGTTAACAACTTTCCTCAGACATGCATTCATATAAACTCCTACCCCTAACTGAATCGCGATTCTTTTAGCATCTCAACCGATTTGAATCGTCACATATTTAAATCGATTTTCAACCGGCTCGCGGTTAATCGTTACATCCCTAGTAAGTGGGGATAGCAAAATAAAGTAAACTGAGACATATTATACACAAAAACTCTTCATACAGTGGACTACCAGTAAAATTGACAAAAAATTTGGGACCAAAATTATTCAGACACTTTGACCTGACCATGTTTTGCTTAAGTGTTTTTCTTTAATTGCTAATGCGACAATTACAACAAAATTAAGCATTGCTTGGTAATTGGTTGGTTGACCTAAAGTGGTATTATCTAATTGTGTGCTTAAATTTAAGAGCTGACAGCTATTCAACCGAATTCATTACATACCTTTCTATCAAAGTTATCTGACATTATCAAGATTAATTTGTTCTGACAGTTTAACTCCGTGTTCTTGACATATTTTATTACCATTTTCTAAACTATAGCGAATAAACTGTAATAATGTGAGAAACATTGAAGGTGTCTGAAATTTTGGTTTGACTGTATATAGGCTCCTGGACTGGAGACTTGGTGCAAAGTATCTTAAAATATTAGATAATTTGACCTTTTTATAATAATTTTGACCTCCTTAGAAGATAAGGATAGTTCAGAAAAAAGTAAACCTGAATGGTATGAATTAATAAATAATTAGTTTTTTTTTTCTTTTTTAGTAAATGAAAATATTTAAAACATTTGATTAAGATGTCATTACTTTTAACTTGATGGTTACACCACATGGCATTTTTTAGAGTCGTTAAATTTAATCTTCTCTTAGTATGGTACCTTTTTATGCTGCTCAAATTCCAGTTTACTGAGCATCAAGGCCTTCTCCAGATCCGCCTCATACAAGTCACTGGTCAGCTGGGACAAACACAAGCATGAAGATGTTTGCATAAAGCCGGAGAGAAATGGGCCATATGAAAGTCAGATTCTGAGGTTTAGTGAGAAGGTTTACCTGTGCATCTCTCTGTTTCCAGTCCTGCCAGCTCTCCTGGGGCTTGGAGCCGTGCTGGACCGCTGCCGGGTTGATCAGATCACTGGCTAAATCCTGCAGCGTGAGCGTGGAGGGAGGTGCTGTTGACTTCTGAGGGATCTTCTTAAAAGCAAGACTTCTGAGCTGCAGTGTGTAACGACAAACACTCTTTGTTAGTCATTTAGCTGATGCTTTACCCAAAACAGAACTACTACAACACACCACCCTCTGTGCCTGCAAGGATGTTATAAACATCAACTCTGATTCATCATCATTGCTAGCTCCAGAAACAAACATGGGGCCCAACTGCTTAGAAAGACAGGTAGGTACACAGAGCTCTAGACAGACAGACAGAGTTAACAATAGACAGAACGATACACAGAAAGACAAATATATAGATGACAGAATGAACAACTGAACAAAGATATACAGAACTAACAACTGAGAAAACGACAGACAGACAGAATAGGCAATAGACAGAATAGAACAGAAAACAGAATAGACAGAGAGATAGACAAACAAACAGACGAACGACATACAGAACAGATAGATAAGAGAATTAATGGATTTATAAAAGGACAGATAGAATTAGACAGAATGACAGAGAGAACAAAAGATAGATGATAGAATGAACAATAGAAAGATTGATAGATATGTAAAATGACAGAACATAGACAGACAGACAGACAGACAGACAGACAGACAGACAGATAGATAGATAGATAGAGTTGGAGAAAGTAATGCATTACAATATAATACTCCCTAAATAAATAACTAATTGTGTTACTTAGTTACTTTTTATGGAAAGTAATGCATTATGTTACTTTTTCTCATCTGGGTTGGGTTTGCTTGTTAGTTTTTAATATAAAAAAACTTCTATTTTTTATTCTGGACTGCATGAAGAATAACCCTGCTTCCCAATATTCATCCTATCCATCCTAATTAGTGTGTGAGAGTAGAATAAGTGTGTCCCAAAGCATAGTGTTGAAATAGCATGCCAAAAGTCCCTGGATGGTGTACGATTTCAGGTCGATTTTTGAAGTGTGGAGATCCATGCACACTCGAATGGCTAATATTGCCCACAATCCACTGTGCTTTGGTGAAGGATTCGGTTCAGAACTACAAACACAAATAAAAAGTGTTGCAAACTACAAACATGGCGGATATGCACGACCGACATATTTAATAATTGCAGGTTTGTGTCATATTCTGAGTTTGCATTTGTTTTATTATTCATTTTGAGGAAGACTGAATCTGTTTTTGTGTAGGTGAGATGAGTAAATCCATGTTCACATTTAGTTTAGAACTACATTAACCACTACTGTTTACACAGCACCTCTGCACTTACTCCCAATTTCTCTCAACATGGGGACAGGAGCATGGAAGCCCATTTAATAAAAAAAATTAAAAAGTCATTACGACTTTTTAGCTCACAATTCTGACTTTTTTTTCTCAGAATTGTGAGATATAAAGGTTTGTGTCATATTCTGAGTTTGCATTTGTTTTATTATTCATTTTGAGGAAGACTGAATCTGTTTTTGTGTAAGTGAGATGAGTAAATCCATGTTCACATTTAGTTTAGAACTACATTAACCACTACTGTTTACACAGTGCCTCTGCACTTACTCCCAATTTCTCTCAACATGGGGACAGGAGCATGGAAGCCCATTTAATAAAAAAATTTAAAAAGTCATTACGACTTTTTAGCTCACAATTCTGACTTTTTTTTCTCAGAATTGTGAGATATAAACTCACAGTTGTGAGAAATTAAGACAGAATTGCGAGATATAAAATGGCAATTCTGAGAACATATCAGTCTTTTTTTTCCTCCTCAGAGCTAGACTTTATATCTCACAATTCTGAGAAAAAAAAAAGTCAGAATTGTGAGTTTATATGACACAATTTTGATAAAAAAATGTCTGAATTGCGAGAAAAGAAGTCAGAATTGTGAGCTCAAAAGTCGCAAATACCTTTTTTATTTTTGTTCACTGGCGGAAACGGGCTTCCATACAGGAGAACTGTCAGTCAATAAATGGGAAAATCAAGAAACTGCTGTTACTTATTTGAAAACGTAACTCAAATATTGTTTTGTAAATTAAAAAGTAATGCATTACTTTACTAGTTACTTGAAAAAAAGTAATCCGATTACGCAACTTGAGTTACGTGTAATGCGTTACCCCCAACACTGTAGACTGATAGATAGATAGATAGATAGATAGATAGATAGAGACCGATAAGATAGATAGATAGATAGATAGAGACCGATAAGATAGATAGATAGATAGATAGAGACCGATAAGATAGATAGATAGATAGATAGAGACCGATAAGATAGATAGATAGATAGATAGAGACCGATAAGATAGATAGATAGATAGATAGAGACCGATAAGATAGATAGATAGATAGATAGAGACCGATAAGATAGATAGATAGATAGATAGAGACCGATAAGATAGATAGATAGATAGATAGAGACCGATAAGATAGATAGATAGATAGACACTCAGACAGACAGACAGACAGATAGATAGATAGATAGATAGATAGATACCGATTAGATAGATAGATAGATAGATACCGATAAGATAGATAGATACCGATAAGATAGATAGAAAGAGACCGATAAGATAGATAGATAGATGGATAGATAGATAGAGACCGATAAGATAGATAGATAGATAGATAGATAGATAGATACCGATAAGATAGATAGAAAGAGGCAGATAAGATAGATAGATAGATAGATAGATAGAGACCGATAAGATAGATAGAGACCGATAAGATAGATAGATAGATAGATAGATAGATAGATAGATAGACAGATAGATAGATCGAGACCGATTAGATAGACACTCAGACAGACAGACAGACAGATAGATAGATAGATAAGATATAGATAGATAGAGACCAATTAGATAGATAGATAGATAGATAGATACCGATAAGATAGATAGAGACCGATAAGATAGATAGATAGAGACCGATAAGATAGATAGATAGATAGATAGAGACCGATTAGATAGATAGATAGATAGATAGATAGATAGATAGATAAATAGAGACCGATAAGATAGATAGAGACCGATAAGATAGATAGATAGATAGATAGATAGATAGATAGATAGACAGATAGATAGATAGAGACCGATAAGATAGATAGATAGATAGATAGATAGATAGAACAAGACACAGATTTTCACCTCATTGGCTTCACTTTGCTGCTGTTCCTTCTTTCGTCTTCTCTTCTCTTTCTTTTTGTCATTATTTTGGTTGGTCTTCCCGCTGGGAGATTTCCCTGAGCAGGGCTTCCCTGCTCCACGACCCGCCTTCGGTTTCCCCGCATCCGAATCGGACTCCGAATCCGAGTCGACCTGCAGCAGAGCGAAGCGGGACGCCGTGGTGGGCACTGAGATCACTGCTGATGCCATCCTGAACCTGCAATCAACCAGACGATCAACAAGCACATCACACATGCAATCACTGAATCAGTCATTCTCAGAGAGCACAGGTACGTCTGTTAAAGATCGCTTGATCTGGAAAGCATCTGCTGTGTACAAACATCTGACAGATGTCAGATTTAGGAACATTCTAAATCATAAACATCTTAAAGACATCTAATAAACGTCTATTTTACATCTGAAAGGAAACGTCCTTTAGACGTATTGCAGATGAGCAAACACTAAAAAATACCTCTTGCAGATGTAAATGCAGACGTCAAACAGACGTCTCTGTAATGTACGCGTGCTATCAGGGTTAGTGCTGGTGTAAACACCGATTTACATTGATTCGTAGCATTAAAAAAATCAGTGCTAGGAAAACATAACAGACACATATCTGGTAGTATAATGAACTGACAGAAACAAATAAAACCAGCTTTAATTTGCATTGAAAAATCCTAAATCTGTTAGCTGTAGAGTTATAAGCACTTCACAACATAAAGAGGTGTAGTAATAATTACCGATTGTTGCTGTATTGGTGGACAACAAGAACAGCTCCGATATATTTGTCGTTATATATTTTAGGCTTTTTAAAAAACAGAAACTGCCTAGACATACTGCAGTTTTAATTATCGCACCATTTGATACCCAAAATGTCGCTAGCTTAGACTTTTTTTTAGCTCGCTAGTGCTGAACACAAGTAACAAACGCGTGCTATCGCTGTCATTTTTCCTGAACATGTTTTATGCTAGTCAGCACACTCATGTAAGGCGCCGTTAAAACGAACTAAACAAACTTTCACCTGTTTAGGACTGTCGGTATCCTCGGCTTCGTGCGAGTAGAAACAGCAAACACAAGGAGAGAGTATGGCGGCCTGAACGGACACAAAGGCTTCGAGGGTGATACTATTGGATTGGGGGGGAAATGTTGTCCGTTGCTCGTGTTCACTCCAGGTGGCGCTCTGAGGCTCAGAAAGCTCAATCTCAGTTCAACTGCATCAACCATAAGAACGTTTTTTGTGTCACTTACGACGTTTGTATCCTACAACTTATAATTATTTAATTCTATGAATGTATATACTTGACAGTGCAGTACCTGTGACCCTGGAGCACAAAACCAGTCATAATTAGCATGGGTATATTTGTAGCAATAGCCAACCATACATTGTACTGTTTCCAGATTTTCAAATAGTTGTATCTATCCTAACAAACCATACATCAATGGAAAGCTTATTTATTCATCTTTCAGATCTCAGTTTGAAAAAAAAAATTGAACCTATTGAAAGTATTTCTATAGTCGTTGCTGGTTTTGTGGTCCAGGGTCACATATAGACCTATTAAATTAATGTTTCATCCAGTAATCACAAATGACTGTGATTAATCGATCCTAATCAACAATGAGAAAAGCAATAGATATCACGTGACAACATCAATTCAGCCGCGGTCTGGAAAATGAGAAAATTATTAGTATGCATCCAAATTAAATGTCAAAAAAATAACAAAAATAAAACAGCTGAAGACAAATTCAACTAACCAATTAGAAACGTCGTTTAAGACAAAGCCCCGCCCACTTCATGCTTAGCGTCATTCTGTTCACTTATTTTATAGGCCCCGTATGTAAACGGTCAAGAGCGTTTTAAAAAGATGTGCGAGAACGAGCTCTATTGTCTGATTGGACTGAACTTTGCGTTGGAAGAGACGGTGGATTGTAATCAAACTGTATCGTGAGTGTAGCAATGGGTTATGATTCAGATGGTGATGATGATGGGTGGCCTTCAGATATGGAGGTTAACCGAACTAAAAAGACAAGGAAAAAAGCATGGTCTGAAGCGAGTAGTGGAGGAGAGAGTACACCAAGACAAACGATCAAAAAGATCAGAGCTAAACCTAGTGGAAGCAGTAGGTTTGATGATGACCAAATCGACCTTCCTTTAGCAACTTCCCCCGAAAATTAGTTGGCAACAATGAACTGGCCTGTCAATCATCTTGTCACAGTTAACATCCTCCACATTTCATTTCATTTAACTTCCTACCGTACTGGAGAGAAAAGTAACTTAGCACGTTGATCTGCCAGTCGCGGGTCTTTCACGCAGAGAACTCTGCTTTATTTTCTGCATAATGATGCATTTAAAAGTTAACGACCAAATGGATGTTTATAACAGTTCACATTGCTGTTGCAGATGAAATATAACACGCATAACAATAAATACATATTTTTTACCAGGTTAAATGTTGATTATTAGTAACTCAAACCCCTTTTTGTAAACCTCTCTGCCTAACCGTCGATCGCACGCATCCGCCACGTTTGTAGTTTTTAACGCGTTTTATTCGTGTTTGTAGTTCTGGACCGAATAAACGCAGGGAAAGACTATGGATCTGGGTGTAAATTTGTAACGTAGACCTTTCATTGTGTAAACCAGAGTGATATGATATATACATATATGTGTGTGTGTGTGAAAAAATATATATTTATATATATATATTTTCCAATACTGTGGAAGTCCATGGCTTCTCTCAACTATTTGGTTACCAACATTCTTCAAATTTTCTTTGTGTGTGTGTGTGTGTGTGTGTGTGTGTGTTCAACAGAAAAAAGAAACTCATACAGGTTTGTAACGACACACGGGAGTAAATTGGCAGGATTGTCATTTTTTTGGGTGAACTGTCCCTTTAAGAGAGGTTTTTGTCAGATTCTTATTGAAAGGTGGGGTAGTAGAAGACAGAATGGGAGAGTGTAGTAAGACATTCACTGAAGTGGGTTTAGTTGAATTTCTTACTATTATGAGTGCATAAATGTGCAAATGATACTTTCCGAAACCAAGCACAATAATGTTCGTGATGTAAGCGTGTCTGCCACCCTCATGTGGCTGTGAGGGGAAACAGCCACTCACCAGCCTCCTCAGGTCAAGTAAAAAATTATCATCTAATGGCCAAAGAGCAACGTTTCATTGAACTTCATTTTATTGAACAAGAAGAGAAAGAGAGACTTTTTTTTTTTTTTTTTATTTTTAAACATCTCTTTAATCACCAGAAACATTAATCAGTATTTTTTTTTGTATAGAGAGCGAGAGAAAGGAATAGGGAGATCTGTAATATGATTACATAACTCTAAATATAGTTAGATTTTGAATTATTTGGACAAACACAGGTATACACTTCAATTCAGCAGGTTTCATAGCCTTTCACAGACGTAATCAACTGAATTTGACACAGATTCACTCCAGTCAAAGTGTAGAAACTTCTCAAAGGTGCTCTAGAGAAATCGAATGCACCTGACCTACATTTTAATATCTGTTTTAATGTGATATTTCAGTTTTTTTTTTCTTTTTAATAAATTTGCAAAGTTATCAGAAATCAATTCAAATCAAATAAATGCGTACGGGTAATATCTCACTAACTGGTATGAGACAAAAAGTCCAATTACACACATTTCTTGTTTTAGTAGGTCTGCAAGTTGGTATCAACCATCAAAACGGTCTTAAACTCTGGGGCCAGTTGTTCAAAAAATGTAATCTGGATCAGATTTGGAAATCCCATCTTTTGCTATCCAGGATCAGGTAACCCATCTTACTTTTGTGCCGGTTTTTCAAAGCAAAATTGGATTGAATCACTCTGATCCAGATACACACTTTTTCAGATCTCCAGATCTGGATTACTAGTGCTCTGCGGAGCCCCTAAAGGGACATGGTGATGGGGGGAAAAATGCCAATGTTTTGCATTGCATTTACACAAATAACTGAAAATGTATGTCATTGCACGTTATCAAACCAAGAGGCATATGCAAACATGTGAACAGACTCCACTTTTATAGTTGCAACTGCTTTTAACCAACTAGTTAATGTATAAAGTTCTAGACATCACAATCAAATGTGGTTAAACACTGGAGTCCACTGTGTGCATGAAAATTAATGTCTTTATGATTTCTTACTGAAAAGAAATAAATAATTTGTTATACTCATCTTGTCTGTGTTCGATGCAATTGATTCTTTCAAACCACAGATTCATTCAAGAAGGAGGCATCATGACTGAGATGCACAACACGTGATTCTCCTGTGAAATATTTTCGTTGGCAGAGAAAAAATGGGGAACGTAACTAACAAAGCTGTATTTAAAATGTATGTTACTCGATGCTAACTTTCTGTTTATAAAACTTTTGTAGTATGTGGCTGTTTCACCTCTGTTTTCTCATGCTAACAAAATAAGTTATACATGTATAATTATACATTTAAACATTACAGATGTACATCACCTCATTTTCATAACTTTATTTAAAGGTATAAACAGCATGACACAAAAAAGAACTGATGCTGTCAATAGTAGATGCAGCGTGTGTGATGTATTGGAATATGTGCCATTTCTTTATGGTGTTTTTTAGCATATGGCCACAGGTAGAAGTCAATTAGAGCAGAGTTGATGTGGCAGCTCTTCCCGTCTCTCTCCTCCACAAGCTTCCAGAGATGCTGCCGGATTCTCTCCACACACCAGATGGAGCAACCCCTGATCTCCACCTCTCTCCTCTCACCTGAGCTCAACACTTCACCTGTCAAACAACTAACAATCACTACAACAATACTGATGAGATTACCGGTCCATTATTTAAAGGTCCCCTGAAATGCTTAGAAACACGCAGCGTTAAGGCCCGTTCAAACCAAGGACGATAACTATAAAGATAACGATAAAGATATAGTTCTAAAAATCGTTCTCAATATTAAAGAATAGCAGATGTGCGCTTAGAATAAACGGATGATATCGTTCTTGGTGTGAACGGGCCTTTACTCTGTGTGTTGACATCATTTTAACTGAAACAGGAAGACAGGGCGGGACATATCAAGCAGCCCCGCCCCTT